GTATATCGCATATTCATCCACTATTTGTGTTCTCTCGAATTCTGAATTTCCCATAACCTTCATCCTTCTCTTCGCAAATTTATTTCACTAGATTATATACTCTTTAAGTAACATCTTCAAACCCTAATCTTTCCGATTACTATTCATACTGTGGTGCGAGCTACTTATAAGCAGTATATGACGTGAGTGTCAACGTAATGTCTGGCAACAGATGATGGGGGGAAGATCAAGAAAGGAAGAGTTAGAACACAATGGGAATTGTATGAAACGCATGAATAGTGACAATGGATTGATGTTTTGCAACAGGAACAGTCCAGTTTGATATGATGGACTGATATTTTGCAAATTAACGATTTACGATATGGTTTTTCCGATTTTACTGAGTAACTCTGTAATTTTCGTTAAATACAATTCGGTTGCCCCACCTGTGTTCTCCTTCACTACAATACTTCTTCTACTACCTCTACTACTATGGGATTTAAATTGACAATGGCATCTAGGTGTGCTAATATGGTATGGCAACCTGAACTGATGTACTTACGTACATACAAAGTTCTATGTTATTCAAGGCTGACTGACATTTGTCATGGTAATCTGAGCTCATATAACAGTAGTCGCTTGAGTCCAATCAAGTATACCACCTTTTTATGATTTTCTAGTTTTGCACGTGACAGACTACATTACAACCGGTGACAGGTGTATCTATGTGGCAAGACGATGTGTCCCTTTTTGGGGGGATTTCACAATTTACTTACTTACTTACTTACTTACCCCCCAAAGGGGCATGGTCCGTTGACCAGTGAATTACTTTTCTGGTTATCATGCTAATGTGTTATGGCAACTTGACTGATGTACATACGTACGAAGTTCTAAATTGTAGTTGACTAACTTACTGACTGACTAAGGGGCGATATAATGAGTCATGAACAAGTGCCAACTACACTACCTACTGACCAACCAACCAACCAACACTATTCAACATTAGTTCATAAAAAAAGAGCTTACTCAAACCAACAACTACAACAACAACAACAGTGAAGAAGAAGAAACTCACTTGTCCATTAGCTGTTTGATAGTAGGTTTGTCCACCTGACACTGGAGCATAAATAATCGGTGTGTATTCTTGATATTGTCTAATGATGAGAATATGAGGGGAGATGGAGAAGAAGGAGAAGAAGGGGAGAAAAAAACACAAACAAATACAATACAACTGCTACACATTGAATTATGATTAGTAATTGTAATTAACATTTGAAATGATGAATTATATAGAAAATTCACACAAATAACCAACAAGACAAGAAAAAGGCAAAACAGTATCAGAACTAATAATCATAATAATATTACTGTACAAATAATAGTTTGTTCAGTCAAATAAATATACACGAACGGAAACTACCAAAACTATTGATTATTTCATTTAAAACTTAGAAAGCACACTAGATATTGTTGTGTTCTTGAAATTGTCATCAAACCATCATTAGAAACTTGGAAGCACTGAAAGAAGGCTGTTTCGTCCGAATATGCAACTTATCGGTGGCAGTGCGTATCTACAACTCTTGGGACTCGCACGATTCTGACTGAGGACCTTCAGTCTTGTGCGTGAATACTGAACACCTCTGGACCAATGAGCCGGCGGCATCCAACAATGTTAATTAATGTCTAACTCTGATCAATCCCGACCGAAGCTGCTACCTTGACATGGTGGTCGGGCTTGACTATCGTGATGACCCAACCGAGCTATACTGGCTGGAACACATGTTCCTGCAGGTCCTACCATGCCAGCCAGACAGGTCAATTGGAGAACGATGAGGCTAAAAGCAGTTACTCAAGGTCTGAGGGCGAAGTCGTACTGCTGACTCACTGTAGAGGGGTGTGACAGCAGTAAGGTGTTTCCCTCAGACAACCAGCATCTGCAGCGATGCTGCCTTCTCACAAGGAAGGAAGGGTTAGAAAAGGTCGGCCCTAAAAATGTCACACATCCCCTAACTCACGGATTTCCGTCTCCCTGGGTAAGGGTGTCCACTAAGGGCCTTTAAGAACGGAGCTAATCCTCTAAATACCTTCCATAAAAAGGCCGTGCGTGACCGGCCTCATGCAGTTGTCCCTTGGGCTCTGCGGTGACGCACCAACACTAATCCATCTTCCTTTTCAGGTCCCTCAAGAAACAACCTTCTACGGTGTGGGCAGCCGGGAAGTGACAACCGCCCTCATACCCGTAACAGCACGCGAGACCAAATTGGTCAAAATCAAATCCTACCCGTAACTCTGATCAATCTAAGGATTTTGTTTTATGGGTTGAACTCCATTGGTCACGCCTTCTATATATATATATATATATATATATATATATGCATATTCTTGATTGTTCGTTGAATTTGAACTCTCTAGTTATTTTATCGTTCTCACATTTGAAAAAATGAATTGTATACATTGGTAATAATTTGTAACCAAATTGACTTTCTTATGGTTTCTTATGCTAAAAGCCTGTTTCTTAGTAGTAGTAGTGGCAGCAGTAGCAGCTCAGTTCGTGTATATTTTGGATAGAATCATGCATAAATAATCATAATCATAATAGTAATAATAATAATCACTGAACAATTAAAGAACTAACTAACCAACCAACTTGTAAGCAAAATTAGTTAACACAATTAATTAGTCAACACAATTAAGAGTTCAAAAAAAACCCAGTAGAAAATAATCATCAAAGAAGGCAACAGAATGTTAAAACACAATCCATCCAATCACACTGATGATATTTTCATGCATGTTGACATTATACACACACACATGAAACCACCGATCAACATGCCATCTCTGCACAACAGAGAGAATGGGGATATCATCATAATTCCATTATTGGTTGGTTAAAAAGTTAAAAAGTAAATCATTCAGTTAGAAACAAACAGAAAAAAACTAATCATATATATATATTAGAAAACATGCATGCACTTCAAAAATATCACTTCATTAATAATGCAATGCACTTCAAAAAAACAAAACCATTAAGGGGGTTAAGAGCATTCAAGAGAGAAAACACACATAGCGGCGCCAAGGTTAGGTGGGGGGGGGGGGCTTCGAGGGCGCGCGCGGGCGAGCGGGGGGCGGGAAGATAAAACTAGATTATTTCGAAACAAATAAACGATAGCAAGGCAAGAAAGACAGATAGAGAGATACAGGGTTATAGCGGTATTACTTTGTCAATCCAATTGACCAAAATCAATCATTTGATTAGTTCATATATATCAATCATCAATCAATCAATCAATCAACAAACATAACCAACTCTAAGAAGATGGATAGATGGATGGATCAAGTATGAAATTACCCAGACAAAGATTTCGTAGCTGATGCAAATAGTTTTCTTAATGGCGTACCAGACTTAATTTCGAGTATCCCACTGAAAAAATTAATTAAGAAATTCAATAAGAATCCAAAAAATCGAGATGAATGAATGATGAAAAGAAAAGAAGATGAACAGTAGAAGCATGGGAAAATTGTGATATGATATATTGGGAAAAAAAGAGGAAACCTGGGAGGGGAAGATCATTGAAAAACTGATGTATATTTTATCGCATATAAAAAAAGCAACTTAAAAAATATCACTACAGCCTAATTACTTACTACTATAACATGGCAGAAATCCATGAAGTCATTGACTAGTGGACTGAGTCATGTCGGTAATTGTCGACTACATGGTTGGGATCCGCGAGATGATAATAATCGATGGTTAGAGACCTTGAATGACATGGATCAAAATCGTTCGCAATGGCGCCGGTGCATTTATTCTTTGTGTTCTCTCAAATCCTAATCTTCTGGATTCTTCAACACCTCTAGTTTCGACTTTCCAAACTTTTCTCATTAAATCATACTTCTTGAATAATATCTTCTCATTCTAACCTCTCCGATTACTTCTAATCCCCTTACTACCTCTTCTACTATTGGATTTGAATTGACGATTACTTCTCTGTGCTGATGTGGTATGGCGACATGAACTGATGTACTTACGTACGAAGTTCTACGTTGCATCTGACTGACTGATTAGAAGTAATCAGAGAGGTTAGGATTAGAAGATATTATTATTCAAGAAGTATGATTCAGTGAGAAAAGTTTAGAAAGTCAAAACTAGGGGGGGTTGAAGAATCCAGAAGATTAGGATTTGAGAGAGTAGAAAGAATAAATGCACCGGCGCCATTTCAAACGGTTTTGAGCCATGTCATTCAAGGTCTCTCTAACCATCGATTATTATCATCTCGCGGATCCCAATCAGGTAGTCGACAACTACCGACATGGCACTCGTCAATATTAAGGGTCAAAAGACGACGCGATGATAACATATGACACCTAAAGATTGTAAAATTTGATTCGTTGTTCATCGAGCTTCACTAGCTCCTCAAGTCAAGCTACAAAAAGCCGATTACAATACACTGATAGATTGAATCATTGCTACAAGTTTAACATCATTGATAGCAGGAATAATTTGCTGAACAACAAAATAGAACTGTAACTACTAACATAAAGCAAAGAATAGTCATTCCATTGAGCAATAAAACAAGCATAGAAATACACAATCAACAGGGAACTTGCTTACCCGCTTTCTCCATTTGTAGGATAAAATGATTGTTCAGAAATAGCTTCAATATATTGAGTTGGATAAATAGTTTGTGAATTATTTGAATGACTTGTTTGTAATAAATCAGTTTCTACTCCACTTGTTACAGGTCGATTATTATTATTATTAGTAGTAGAGTCGGAAGCTATTATAGTTAAATACATATATATTTAGTGCAATATTTATTATCAGTAAAATTCAGCTTACCAATTTTACTAAGTAAAACATGTTGACCACCTTGTTGTAAAATTGTATGATTTTTTGGAGAAAGATGAACAATAGTAGTACCTCCAGGACCAGATACTGATTGCATGATTTTGTTTGTACATGGGGGAAAAAATGTGAAGATTTATACACCTAAAATGAGAAAAGTAAAATTTAGTAATTTCTCAAAGTGAATATATCAGTCAGTCAGTCAGTCAGTCAGTCAGATACAACGTAGAACTTCGTACGTAAGTACATCAGTTCATGTCGCCATACCACATCAGCACAGAGATGTAATTGTCAATTCAAATCCAAGAGTAATAGTAGAGGTAGTTAAGGTATTAGAAGTAATCGGAGAGGTTAGGATTAGAAGATATTATTATTCAAGAAGTATGATTCAGTGAGAAAACTTTAGAAAGTCAAAACTAGGGGGGGTTGAAGAAACTAGAAGATTAGGATTTGAGAGAACACAAAGAATAAATGCACCTGCGCCATTGCAAATGATTTTGAGACATGTCATTCAAGGTCTCTAACCATCGATTATTATCATCTCGCGGACCCCAACCAAGTAGTCGACAATTACCGACATGCCTAAGTCCACTCGTCAATGACTTCATGGATTTCTGCCATGTTTTGATTTGGCCTCCCCTAACTTTCTTCCAACCTATTCCTACACTACAGGTTGGAAGAAAGTGAATATATCAGTGAAAAGTTATGTCAGAGGGAAAACAAATCTAGGTAATCTTATTTCCCTGAAGTAAAAGAGAAAATTGATAATTACATTGAAGTATGTTAGAGTATAGAAGCCAACTATGCAAAAGGTTCTAGTACAAAATGATCTAATCACACTTATATAGGAAAGTCATTGTTCTGAACGTTAGCTTCAGTTTGATTCATGTAACTACACTCATAGTCATTTATAACCAATGCAGGATATGGTAGAAACCATTGCAGATATTTGACACATGCAGTGTAGCATACGTCCAACATTTTGATAAGTGAGGTACGATTAAACTAATAATTCAAATATGTCAACGTTTAGAACACAATAGTCGACAGAAAAACATCATATCTTTCATATCATAATTCAGTTTCTCTGAAATAAAAGTATCCATTTGTTAACAAATAGGTAGAAACTAGTTAAAGGAAGACTTGGATCATTTCATTAGGGATTCTATTTCTTAGTTGATTCACACAAAATGCACAATGTACAATGAATGAACAAACCAAAATATTATGCTGGTATAGTATAGAGTTACATTTGTAATTCCAAACAGAATCAAGGATTTGTTAGTTATTTGTTTTTCTATGATTTCATTATTCAGTTATAAACATCAATCTACGCTTTAGTGAAGCTTGAAAACAGCAAACTTAGAGAAACTAGATAGAATTCGTACGATATCGTGACTATATGATTCAAATCATTTGTCTTAACTAGATTTATACCCTCATCTGTCATTATACACCTCGAACTGAAGGCATATTCAACTCTCTCAGTTAGATTTATTGTATCTAAAACTATTACTGGAAGTAATACAAACGAAGTAAATGACTACATGGAAGGTTAAAGGCAATGTGCTTCTGAATGAACAGTTTTGTTTCATCAACAATGATTTGGAAAAAATAAGTGAGTTGAGTTTTTCAAACAGACTACCTTACAGAATACTGAAGATGTGCTATACACTTGGTGTAGAATAGCATGTCTTATTAAAGCCATAGTCGTTTACAATGGCTAACTCTACTTCAAAAATCATCCGGTCTTTTGGGATGCTAGCTTACAGAAACAGTGCTCAGACAGTATTCACTCATTTGTATTGTTGATAAAGATAAGGAGCCAAAATAATGGCAGACTATGTTTTATTCTACACTCTTAAGCACTACAAATTAATCACCTATCAAAGCACTAACTACTGAAAGCATTAGAAGACGTATTTACTGTGTATTTAGGCAGTTATCCAGATACATTCAAGGCAAATAATAAAAACAATCCTAACCTAAAACATAATGACCAGTAGGTGTATTCAGTTATGTGTGAAACCGCGGGTGTTATGTAGTGATAGACAAGTACCTAACAATAGTGGTTTATCATCAGTACAAAACACTACGGAATCGTTCTTTGAGCAAGTTGGATTCCACAAAGATAACAAAAAAGACAACCAATAGGTAGTTTTCGACTGCACTAGCAAGGCTAGGGAGACAAATTGTTTTTGATCATTGTGATCATTATGATACGAACTTTACGAGCCGTTTAAGAACGAGTTTCAGACCCATAAATGACACATTTCGAAAAAGCCACCAATGACGTTTGCCTAGGTATGGGGAATTTTATAAGGCTTTCGAAGCCTTTTCCAACTGAAGACGATTTAGGATTAAGCTACAGAAACGAGTCTTGACATTTGCAGTTCAGTTCAACAGTTACAAGGATACTGATTAAATGACTACAAAAGCTTCAAACATAAAATGACTTAAATCTGACTTATTACATGTTGCTTGAGCTTTAACTATCAAGATTACACAGTGAAAGCAACAAACTAATATTTAAATAATAAAATGAAAATCCCACCTCAGTTGACAGAAAGCAGTCGCCAACAGCTACGGTGACTATGGCGCTCACTATGGCGGCAAAGCGTTATATCAACGGTTGCCAGCGTCACAAAATGTATTTTGTTTTAACGAGTAACTAATATAAACTGCTAATGATGATTACCAAACTTTTAAATGTTAAAATATGCTTAAATATAGTAGTGAAAAATAAATTTCCTTATTCAACATAAGGTTTTCACTGATCATGTACAGTGTACAATTTTATAGACTCCTCTGAACGCACAAGCAATACATAAGAAGTTTTAATGAATGCAAATTAGTGATCAAACTTCTGAGTTATGATTATGAAAATCTGGAGCTCTCAAAGCGAAAAGGTGAGGTTCACCACATTATAAGTCCCATACGTCAGAAAGACTAAATATAGGTTTTTTTGTAACCAGCCAACTTTTGACTTTGCCTGTCAAGTGGCATGACTTATGTAAAAAGTTGTTACTCGGCAGCAGATTTTACTACTAGTAGTAGTCCTGATTTTGGAGAATAAAACTAATCGTAAAAGCAGGCAAACCGCAGTGCTCCAATAATCCACAGCCTTTCAAACTTAATTCTGAATACAAGGTCGCTCATAAAGACAGGCGAAAGGAATTTCTAAAAAATCTTTGACAATTCGAGACATAGAGAATAAAGCTGAGGAGGAAAACATGAAAGTGAACTTGTGATGCAACCTGTTTTGGAACGCTAGCTTCAAAAATGTTGACGTGAGGACTCATTTTTTTCTTTATAGATAGTTTCATGTAGCATTTCTACTCCGAAACAGCTATATTTCATTAAAAGCTGATATATAATGTTAGGATTCAGCTACATACGCCTTTACCCATTGAGTTTTCACTGGCTGTCTATTGAAGTTTACATTGCATCCATACTTATTTTTACGCTGTCGAATTTCAATTATGTCAGGGGTTGCGAAAATATTTTGAACTTAAAAATGGGGCTGTGCGTAAGTTTTAAAAAGAGCTACGAACAAAGGTGAGGTAATTGTATTAAGCTTTCTTCACATAGAGTGAAGAGTCACATTCAACTTGGCTGCCTTTCTTACGTAGTTTGAGTTGTCATCCAAGCTACCTTTGGCTATAACCTGAATATCGTGCTCTAAAGAGAGTATTAGAGGCAAGTTTTTATCAGGGATGTTGGTTGCTGCAGAATATTCTTGAAGTGGTATTTCGTCTGGAAGAGTTTTAAGTAGTTGTCTACCGCTCATTTCTCCATTATTTTAAGGTCCTCTCTCTCTTTTTATAAACTTCCAGGTCTGTGTGTCCTCTGTATAAAACTGTATCGCAGAGCTAATTTCATCTAACAAGTCATTGACAAACATCAGAAAGACGAGTGGAAACAAGACAGTTCTCTGTGAAACTCCAAATGTTAAGACTCGCCAGCTTTCATGCACTTTATTTACCTTGGTATGGAACTCCCTGTTCTGAAGTTGGTATCTGAGCCAAGAAAGCAGTGGGTCAGAAAAACTCATCTTTATAACCTTTTCAATTAGGAGTTCATGAGATATACTAGGTCGAAAGCTTTGGCAAAGTCCAGGAATACTGTGAGAACTGGTACTTTCTAGTCGGAGCGGGTTTTCCAGCTTTCCCATGCTATGAGAATATTGGATGTACATGACCTGCCTTCACGAAATCGGTAATGAGCTTTTCGAAGGATTTTACTCTTATCCATGTACTCCTTATGTGCTCATTCACCAGTATTTGCGTTAACTTTGGTAGTGTTAGTGATAATAAGACTGGTGTTCAACTGGTTGGATCCTTCTTATCTCCTCCTCTAAACTTGGGGAGAGAGAGTAGCTTCTTTCCGTTTGGCTGGTAGTTGGTGTGACTCCAGAGAATGCCTGAACAGGTCATATACCGGGCTTCTGGCACTAGGTGTGAGTAGTACTGTGAAATTGTAGGCACCTGGTTGAATTGATCAGTAAAGTTGATGTAGCAGATGTCAGCCATCGCTAGGTTGGTGACATCTTCACCATTTGAACCTTTCGGGACATGAACACCTTGGTTTGCACATTTTCTTTCGGTCACGAACCTAAAAAGATATTTTGGGTTTGCATGTATTTCGTCTGGTATCTTCGTCTGGAAGTGTGTCATATCGCTTCGAACTGTGGTATCGCATCTGTTTCTAAATACCAACTGAAAGCTACAGTCAGGATGCTTCAGAGGGACTTCCCACTTGCTGCGGGTTCGTTTTTTCGCCTTCAGCAAGCGTCGAGCGCCTCATTTAGCACATGGAATTCTCTCGAGAGATGTGTGATGTGCCTGAGGTATATTGTGTCAGACAAAACTCTGAATTATACCTCTCTATGTTCTTTAGTTATCATTATCTGTTGGTCATTACTTCTTTTGAGACCATGGAGCATGTTGATGATGCTCTCCCGTGATTGTGTTATTTTCGCTAATATACCTAAGGAGGGTTCTCGTCTTCCTACAGTATTTCGTTTATGATCGTGTAAAACATGACCGCGCAGACGTTCATAATTTCTGTAGTTGTGCGGACGCCGAATCTCAATTAGGAGCTCATCGTTTTTTAATAGATAATCGACCTATAAGGGTTTAGAATCCTAACCATATCTGATGGCACTAAACGCACGTTCGATAGGCCCTGAACCTCAGATGGTCTTGACAAGCTGCTTTTGGAACTACGTTGTGGGAGTTAAATTCTATGTGCCGAGATTTAAGGAGTAAGGACTCAAAACTCCGCATAGTAGCGTTTGGTCAAACCGTAGGTATGGTAGATACAATATTAACCATCATTCAGTGATAGATATCTAGTCTAAGGAGACTATATTATCCACGTCCACTTAGCAACGTTTAGTCCTTATCATGGCTGTTATGGAGCTTACTGACACTTGTTTGCTTCTGGTTTCCGAATAAAAGATGAGATATCCAAAAAAATGGCCGCCGTCAAGAGAAAAATTAGTAAGTGAAATGTGTGCGCAGAATGACGGGGCATCGTTGGTGTTCGATAATATCTTTAAAACATGAAGTTATGTTTCTGTGAATATACATAACATCATAAATCAGGCAAGCTGTCGACTCCAGAGGTTGATCCAACGTACAGTTGTTCCTTCAGATGCATGTTTCATCGTAGCCAGGAGATCAACGACTCATAAATAAGATATGGTGTGAGAGTTTTACGGGCGAGGTTCGTGACTCTGTAGTGCAGAGTATGTCCCTCTGTCGCTACGTGGACCTACAGCCTTTGTAGCAATTCAATTCGCCTATGAAACGTACCAAAATCGAATAATCACATCAGCTGAATGTCTTATAAGTTTTTCTGTGTTTAGACAGTAAATATGTGCACGATTACCTTGTAGTTTTCATACTGTAGAGCTGATAGGTAGTTTTGAGACATTTGGAGTATACACAATAGAGCTAGGGGCAGTGTAAAGTGTAAGATCCATTTTGAAAGGCTTTGTTTGGGAAAATCCCTCCATGTATATATTTGTAATATGTCCTTATTGATTGTTTCAGTTCTACATTTTTGGTAATCTGTTCAATACCGTTTTGGGGTGATAATATTTGTATTTTATTATAATTGCTAGTTTTTGTGACTTTATTGAGTTTCTTTCGGAACTGCATAATGTTGTTTAAGCTGACACTATATTATGGCGACATCCATATTAATTTTGTTCCTCTGGCAGTTGGTGCAATTACAATGACCGGAAGTGTGCAATCTGAATTGGAAATCGGAGCACTTTTGCAGAATTGGAAACACTCTGTGTTATGAGAAGGATAGAATATCATTTATTTGAAGCAATAAAGCTGTAATATTGTTTAGAACGATTACTTACCCAGATCACTTGTTTTGGATTTAAACTGAACAGTTATTCAGAAATTCAAACCTCAATTCGGATTCTACATAAAGTACAGATGCGGTTTGACGTGAACGGTTGGCACTAGTGCTAGTTTTTTGTACACGGGATCAAAAGAATGTCGCTCACTAAAGTTTATCTAGGAATCGGTGGGACCAATAAAGTAATACAGTAGAAAAATCACTCCACAATTTAGTGGGATTGGGTGTCTTTATGAAGGATTTTTAGAAACGATTGACTGAGTACACGTCGTAAACAAGAGTCCGAATAGGAGTGTAAGAATCGATAAGCGGGAGACCTGTCCAGCGGCAGCATAAAACGCTGGATCAGAAATAAACGTGGGAAGAAAATATACGATACAGAATATTTATTGGGGAAATATCCTAAGCCGTAGCGAGTAGTGAAATACCAGAGGCTCATACTAATCACTGAGATCAAAGAATAGAGAAAAAAGTGGTTTAAACACTCTGAAGTGCTCTTGTAAATAACAATATTGCCGAAATCTATGGGCATCTAATCAACAATTGTAAACTTTCCTCTCGACGTTGCCATGTGGGATTTGAGTCTACGTTGGTATTAGTCCACTCGATAACCTATTCCACAAGGCATGAATAACCCATTCATAATTTCTTACGCACAAGTCTCATCACCGTTTACACTAACACCTGGCAGTATGTTTATTGAAACTTAAGTAGAGCAGATTTAGACTAGAAATAAAATAATATATTTAGAATAAAAAGCAAGAGATTATATGAAGTAATCATGCTTGCATGACCCATCTATGTTTTCTTGACTGGGTGTTATCACATTCACCATTTCCAACGTTCTCCAAGTGAGAGTGATCGCTAGACGTTTACTTTATGTCTCCTCAGTTACTGTTTGCTTAGCTTCAGCCATAATGTGGCTAGAAACGAATACCACCGTCAGATTTACTGGACTAGCTAAAGTTAAACATACCGGTAGTTGAAAAGATGCCTAATATTCCGTTTGGGGAAGATTTGTGGGATACAGCAACTGTGACAAAAATGAAAGAACGATCGCGTGCCAACTGAATCGCGATGCTATAGACTATCTTTGAACAGTCAGCTGAATGGAACTCACCACTGTACACCAGCCTTCTTGGCTGAGTGGAAGTATTCGAAGCGGAAATAATAAAACATTACTAAGCCAGCTCTTTTTGAATTTCAACTTTGAAGGATAATATGTGTCCGAAATGACCTGCACTGTTTTTATCGATTTGCAAACCACTCTAGTTTGAAAAATAAGAAGTACATGTGGTTATAAACAATTGTACACGCAGGTTATTTCTGATCCCGTAGCAAGAAACCATTATATAGTGTCTGTTGTAACGCAGAAAGAACCAATGTTTGTATGTAGAGGAAATCAAGAAAAGGTGCTGGAGCTGGAAAGAACACGTGTTGCGGAAATATTTACTCCTCCTCATAAAGAAAGACCTAAGGCTAAGGCTCAAGATAATTTTTCATTGGTCAGAGTTAATTTTATATTACTCTTCGAGAGATGTTTGTTATTGTCTCCTAAGTTCCGTGTTTTCTGATGAATTTCAATTATCTTTTCACTTATCTGACGTTGTTGACTTTTGATTGTGAAATACGCCATCCGTAGGATTGAACAAAAACAGGTTACAGTATGGTTCCTTGGATGACCTCTTTGACTGCTTTCTAGAAACAGTTACTCGAGTCCTCATTGGTAGATATTTCGTCTCAGTCCTTCTTATTGGATAGCTTCAGGAGGAGACCCGATAAACACGTACTCATATACGGATTATCATCTCGCTGTTGGACCATGCATGTCTTGAGACCTGCTAGTTGTTATTATTACCATATCCTCAGATCACTAACTTAATCTATCTCGCTTATTATCTCTGTTTCCTCTCCATGAATTTTTCAATCATTTATATATTTGCTTAGTTCTGAAATCTTATTTGCAGTAGAATTTTCTCTACCTTATATTCTACATTGAAAGTTACTGAACGCCGACCTGGTAACGTAATAGCCGCCTTGAAACAAATGTATTCATCCTAATCACGGTACGTAAAAATTCACAAACAACTGCCAACTGACTAGTGGCTAGACCCCAATCCATTGGACACTATCGAACAGTATCAAATACCTGGAACTGTACCAATAAGACAAGAATCGTGAACAAATAAATAAATTTGTTTATACTGTCTCATGAAAAAGATATTGGATATTGAGGTACCGAAAACTGATTTATCAGCCATTCCTTCTTCTGTTTGGTACGCTACTTTTGTGCAACAATAACCTTTGACTGCATATCATAAACTGTGCCGTTTGAAGTAAATTGTAATTTTGATAGAATTCTGATTTATCTCTTAAGCTGGAGCGGAGTAAAGTGAGCATAGGGTTTGAAATATACATGTCACTTCTAGTGCATCCACTTATATGAAGAGAATGCGATTAGGTTTATTAGAAACATTCATTGTACAACACTTGTACAATTGTACAAGTGTTTGTTTAACTGTACTTTTTGTCTATAAGACACTTTACGCGCAAATTTTCTGTTTGTGCTGCTACCATCTTTGCTATAGCTACTCTTTCATTTCGCCCACTTTTGATGGTGTGATTTCGGTGTTCTTTCGACACCATGAAATCACCAGAAAATATATTTTTCACCATGGATTTATTTATCTTCTCAATGATGGGCTCGTAATTAGTATTTAGTGTTGATCATAGTCAATCTCAACTCGATAGCCACTAAACACTCAAAAATGTTTCATTAGCTACACAGAAGAACATAGTTTGCTCTAATCAAATAAATCTTGGTTCATTAGCTCTACACGTTCAGATAAAATATTGTAAAATTGATTATTACTGGTTATATATATTTTATGAGTATGATTATAGGGATCCGTCCGAAAGTGTATTCTAAATTTCTGAATATATACTTGAAGAGAAGTATGTCATCGATGAAAGACTTTCAACTCACTAACGAACACATAACTATTCTAAACTTCCCAAGTTGATGAATTATCGTCAACATGTGAAAACTTTACAAAAGTTTGTTTTATCAAATGTATTTTCGCTGTGTAACAGTACATGTACTATCAGTAGTATTGTGATTAGTAGTAGTAGTATACAAACATTTAACAAAAAAATATTAAAATATACTTAGTTTTGAACTATGCATACTCAAAACATTTACAGAATATTTAAACAATACGAAGTTTCATAATATTTTGAAAGCCCGCTTTCAAATACCAGCAATTTTTAAAAGAACATTTCAATCAACTCATTTTAATTCTGTCAATTGTTTACGAAAATTTATATTAGGATAAGCTATACCATCTGGTATATCTACATTGAGGAATTTACACAGCGGTTCCCAACCATCACCAAGTTTATGAATTAACAGACGTTCAGGTGGGACAGTTTCTATTACTAGTTTATTATATTCATCAAAACATGTAAGCATTTCCGCATCATTATCAATATCAAAATCAATTCGACGAAATGCTTGTTTCATTGAATCTACCGCCATATTAATGAAATCTGGTCCAAGTTTCAATATTTGATCAGCTTCTTCAATAGTTCTACTATGTGAATCATTTGATTTTGGCATTAATGTTTGTCGAAAACTTGATAACCAATCATTTTTATCACGTATTGTTAATATAACCTGAATAATAGAATAAATATATTGACAAAACATTCACAATTGAACACTTAATAAAGCTGAACTGACTGAACTGATATTGAAAATGTAATAACATGAAAGATATTTAAAATGAATGAAGCTATTTTTTAGAATAGTTGTTTACCAAGATATGATAAGGAGAAAAAAACATTTGTATTCTGAACTAGGAACTCAGATGCTCTCAAATTGTCAACGACATAATCCAATTTATTAGTTCAAGGAAGCAAACCGATTAATGTAGGTGACATAATATTAATTTGGTAAACAAACAGAGTTATAGAGAATAATGTGTTTTGCATTGAAATGATGAATCAATCAGTGTTAGATCACCATTAGAAACCTAGAAGCACTAGATGGCTGTTAAGTTCTAGTATGAGACTCTTCACCATTGCGCATTCACGACCCGTGAACTCCGGAATCGAACTCAGGACCTTCAGTCTAGCGCGCGAACGCTTAACCTGTAGATCACTGGCCTGGTATGCAACAATGTTAATATCTGACCTTGGTCAATCTAAGGATTTTGCTCAACCTCACCAATCGTCATCTGTAGTTACTGCCTACACCCAACGGAGTTGGGACTGCACTGGTTAAGGCTTCTTATTAGAACTTGGGGAAATTTCATTACAAAGCTAGTCACTAGTGAACTCATTAAAAACAAAACCACTAGTAAAGGAGCAGTCTGTTATATCAACTTAAATTTCCCAAAGTTGAATACAATAAAATTATATGAAGATATTTATAACAAGATTATCAATAACTCTAGGAACTAAGTACTTGTGAAAGAATAAATGTATATCTGTGAAAAGCCATCAAAGCCATCATCCGAAGATACAAGTGTTTATCAACAGTTGTTTACGTAAAACACTTAAGAACTGTTGGCCAGAGACGATCAGCAACAACCTAGTGTGAGAGAGAAAAAATTAGATTCCAGTGGAGGAAGAGATCAGGAAGACGCTCTGGAGGCGGGTGAGACACACGTTGAGGAAACAATCAAAATGAGTCAAAATACAAGCCCTGACTTGGAATCCTCAAGTCTAAGGAGGAAGACGAACACCGGAGAACACATAACTCCGAGAAACGGAGAGATACAGGAGAAGAATGAACTACAGTTGCGCAGAACTAGAGAGGAAGTTGAAAGACAGAGTCAGTTGAAGAAGGTTAGTCGGTGGCCCATGCTTCACTGGAAGTAACAGGAGCAAGTAAAGAAGCAAGTAAGTAACGACTCTGAATTGCACCACTCAAAAATGAATAATTTTATTGTTAGGAAACACCAAGACAAAATGTGAAACAGTAAAGAATAATTATTTGTTAAAGATAATAAGTGTTCCTAATGTGGTGCGAGCTACTTATAAGTAGTATATGACGTGTGTCAACGTAATGTCTGGCAGCAGAAGATGGGGGAAGATCAAGGAAGGAAGAGTTAGAACATAATGGAATTTGTATGAAACGCATGAATAGTGACAATCGATTGATGTTTTGCAAATTAACCGTTTACGATATGGTTTTCCTATTTTACTGAGTAACTCTGTAATTTTCGTTAAATACAATTCGGTTGCACCACCTGTGTTCTCGTTCACCACACTAACAAATTAAAATATATTATTGAACTGAAGAAGGAAATGTTTAAATCTATATGACAGGCGCCATAGTCAAAAATCGGGCAAAATGATATCAATGTCAGAAACAAAGGAATATCCCAATACCAAATAACATACAATGGGATAGATTTACAGGTTATGTAAATATGAACACTTACTTCGTTTTAATCTTGATGCAGACACATCAGATGGATATTATGTGTAGCCTAGTTTTTCTGTTCATAGTGAGACTCAAGTCTATGAATTTAAACGTTAACAAATTATCTACTGAGTTGTCGAGTTCAGATGACCCTCAACTTGTTCAAAATTTGTGAAGGTAATTGTAACGTATATGGACATAATGCTAGAGGGGGGTGCTGACCGAAACATTGCGCAAAACTATGAAGTCATTGACAACTGGACTGAGCCATGTTAGTAGGTGTAGACTACTTGGTTGTGGTCATCGAGACATTAATAATCGAGGGTTAGAGACTTTGAACGATATGGCTCAAAATCGCTCGCAATATCGCACGTGCATCCATTCTTTGTCTTCTCTCATGACTTCATGAGTTCAAGACTAATACTTCTAATACGATGGGATTTAAAATCGAAATTTTGAGCTCTGAGTGCTAATGTTGTATGGCGATTTGAACTGATGTGCGTAAGTACGAAGTTCTACGTTGTAGCTGACTGACTGGCTGATATAGACACAACAGTTCCGTGCTGAAGTCTCAACAAGACTAGAGTGCTGGTAGATACCAGTTGATAAGTCCCGAATAAGATGAAATTCAATTCCTGAATTCCACTACTGACCGTATACAAAATATACTATAACATGTTGGCTCACTAGCCTTCTCCAGTTCACTTCACTTCATTCGCCGATTCACTTGCTAGCTAACTTGCCCTCCTCTGCATGCTTGTGGTCTGCTGGTCCATTTGTGGTGTGTCAAAATAAACGTATTCAACACTTTCACTTTCTGATTTAAAACCGTCAGGCGCTACTTAGTAACGAATTGTCTGGACGAGCAAATTACGAAGTCTAGGAACACATTGAATATCAACCGTCCCGAGATAAGTGATATATAGGCCACCACAGTATGACTAAATGTCGTATCAAGTCTACCCTCTCAAGACAGAAACTAAACAACGGAAACTGATGAATTGTAGTCTTGACTATCAACAAAGAATAAATATTGATGTCTGAAGTTTCGTATACTTTGGGAGATTTGTGTTGTTGGTGAAGAGCAGGGATATAGTTTCTTCAACTAAGCTTGGCTCTATCAAGGTGAATAAGGCTATTACGTCAAAGAATATCATCAATTCGTCGTTTTCGACTTGAATCGCCGTGAGTTTATCGAAGAATTGTATGGGGGTTTGATGGAGAAACTGGATGATAACACCAAATGTTTTATAATATCCTTGAAATTTCTCTTGATAAGCTGTATATTGGGGTTCCAGCCTACCATAGAATCTTGGGATGACTGGTCCAGTGGACTGCATTCTCCATTGATCTTGTGCTGATATTCGTCTTGCTTTGACAAGTTTGTTTTAAAGTCTTTGAGATTGTCTAGAAACGATCGTAGGTGTCTTCGAAGCATTGCTCGTATATCGTGCGACACCCGAGTGAGCAACGCTGTTATTAGGAATCGGGTGCTAGGTAAGAATGGCAGATCAATAGATAAAGTGGTGAAACTTCATCACTTGAGGTGGTTGGGACATGTGTTGCGTATGCCCAACCACCGACTGCCTCGACGAGCTTTGTTTTGTAGTGTAGGAATAGGTTGGAAGAAAGTTAGGGTTGGCCAAACCAAAACATGGCAGAAATCCATGAAGTCATTGACGAGTGGACTTAGGCATGTCGGTAATTGTCGACTACCTGGTTGGGGTCCGCGAGTTGATAATAACCGATGGTTAGAGACCTTGAATAACATGGCTGAAAACCGTTTGCAATGGGGCCGGTGCATTTATTCTTTGTGTTCTCTCAAATCCTAATCTTCTGGATTCTTCAACCCCTCTACCTTTGTCTTTCTAAACTTATCTCACTGAATCATACTTCTTGAATAATATCTTCTAATCCTAACCTCTCCGATCACTTTTAATACCCTTACTAACTCTTCTACTATTGGATTTGAATTGACAATTATATCTCTGTGCTGATGTGGTATGGCAACATGAACTGATGTACTTACGTACGAAGTTCTACGTTGCAACTGACTGACTGACTGATTGTCTAGAAAGCCAAATCTCAACGACTTATGCCTATTGAAGTCCTGTTGTTATCCGATTTATTGATTAGTTCAAAGAGAATTGGAAAACTGAGTAACTGTTCAATTGTTTGATAAGTTTAATACAGAAAGAATTGAATTTATTTTCTGAATTTTGAGATGACCAATGAAAGTTAAAGAAACCGATGGTAATTTCGTTTCGTTTATTAGAATGTAACTTTTCATTAGTTCAAGAATTGAAACTCATGTATCGACTAAATGTTAGACTGCGATTAGAAAAGAAATTTAGAAGGATTGGACGAATAATTTCGTCCTAGTATAGGTCTCACATCAACAGTACACATCCACAACCCATACAGTCATGGGAATCGAACCTAAAATAACAATCTGTGTTACCCTATACTGAAGAACAAGTTAAAAAAAATCATTCGTTATAAGTAGATAGTAACAATTTATAAAAAAATAACAATCATAATTCAACCAGTACAACAACAATACCTTAGCATCAGGATATATATCCATTAATTCTCGATAGAATCCACATGCTGGAACGTCTGTCACCGCTCCATAACCATTCAATATTTCCATTAAACCTCTGCGTATCACAGTTTCATTTGGTGTAGTTTGCAATGCTTCATCAAATAATTTTTGCCATTTCTCAATATCGCCATGTTTCACTGTAATAATCTCAGTCATATGATAACATGGTTTTGAGTACAGGATTTCCAATGCTTGCTTCATACTTTTTGTTCCAGTTCTTGGGAGGCCAGCACCAATCACTCGTAAGGGAGTTTTTGTTAGTTCTGACATGAATGAATTCACAATTTAAAATATGTTTGAAACTACAAGGCAATATGTCGTCTACTTATTTATATATATATTACCTAGTGGAATTAGTCTTACAGTTTAAAAGTTCACTGATCATGAGATTGATGAATGATTACGTAATGTACTTATTAATATAAGTACATAATTATACAGTTTATATTCGATCTTGAACAAGATTAAGTGTGATGGTGTGCTCTGTCGCTGATTTGATCGTGATACGTGTGTTTTAATCCCCCTTGAATGTGAAAGCAAGAGTGGTTGGTATAAAGAAAGTTTATTTGGCTAACGAAGAAAATTATACAAATACTTGTCCGTTTATTTACAATATACACATATATACAAATACAATTTCATCTCCTTAGAAAATATAGTCATTTCTTAACCAATCAGATATATATTAGTCCTTTAAGACATTTTCAGACGATTTTTAAATAGTTCAACTCATCTGATCAGTTCGATCAATGTTCAATGTCTCCTTATTTACAACTTGTCAATTGGATCAACAATCACTATGACCTTGGTAGAGTGTAGTTTTATCTTTTAAACGATTGTACTTATAATATATTTTGACATATTTTATTTATCTTGACAAAAGAATCAAGAGATGAATGACAGATCAAGTACATATGTGTAATTGTACTATTTTCTTAAAGTAGAAACAAATAGTGTTCACAGTGGCTGTTGTTGTCAGTGAATAATTCATTTTTTGAAACCATGAATCGGTCAATGTTAGACCACCATTCGAAGAAGCCTGGAAGCACTGAAACACGGCCGTTTCGTCCTGGTATGGGACTCCTCACTGACAGTGCGCATCCACGACTCTTGCACCCCGCAGGATTCGAACCCTGGACCTTCGGTATTGTAGGCGAACGCCTTACCATCGAACCACTGGGCGGGTGCAGGAGTCGTGGGCGCGCACTGCTGATGAATCCCATACCAGGACGAAACGGCCGTCTTGCAGTGCTTCCAGGTTTCTAATGGTGTTAGTCTAACACTGATCGATTCATGGTTTCAAAAAATGTGTAACTTAACAATCTTCACAACCCCGCAATGCAAATCATTCATTTGCTTATCATAAATGCTGAGCACTGTAATGTAAGAAAATGTATAATATATATTGATTACAATGTTTATGACATTCAGATGCTTATGTTTGTAGATATTTTGATACAACTGAGAGTGAGGAGAGTTCTCTGTGACTATCTCTCACTCTCATTCCATAATACTCTCATATGAATGATCTCAGGTATATAACAGCTCAACTGCCATACAAGTCCTACTCACTGTTACGTTGTAACGATTGTGCTTTTCACGAAACTCACAGGACGAAAACTGAATGTCGAACTCTTAGATCTAGTTGAAGGAGTAGGAAAACCCTGATTCCAAATAAATACAGAACAAATAGTGTATGAACCTACTTGTTGGTGATCAGCAATCATTGGAGTGTATCTCTGAACGTCACATGACTATCTTGTGGATTGAAACCTGAGACAACAGTTGTCTAAGCACAACATTTCGGATTCGTTGATCAGACACTATCAGTAACAACCTAGAGTGAGAGAGAACAAACTAGATTCTAGTGGAGGAAGACATCCAGAAGAAACTCTGGAAGTGCAACGACCAGAGAAAAGCAAGGAAGGCAAAGTAATCAGAAATACTGAAGAATAGTGAAATAGGTGGATAGAGCACTTTGAGGAACTCTTGAATCGATCAGCTCCACTGAACCCACCCAACATCAAAGCAGCATCTACGGACCTCCCAACCTACAACTGAAGAGATCAGTATGGCCATCATACAAGTGAAGAGCGGCACAGCACAGGGATCAGACAACATTTCAGCTGAGGCGATGAAAGCAGACGTGGAAGCAACTGCAAAAATATTTCACATTCTCGTCAACAAGGTTTGGGATGGGGAACAAGTACCACCAGATTGGAAAGAAGAACACCTCATAAAAATACCAAAGAAAGGCGATCTCAGCAAGTGTGAGAACTGCAGAGACATCACTCTTCTCACTGTCTCAAAGACGTTCTTATGTTGTATAAATAAACGAGAGTTGTATGCTTGATTGCACTGTGATTGCTGGGTGTTTGTAGAATATACTTCTACGCTTACAAAGCCTTCTATTTCGATTTTGGGTATTCAAAGTAGCCTCCCTGGAAGCTGGTAAAAGTCTCGTTCGCGTTTATCGACTAAGGTAAACTCGTAATAGCCTCAAGCATACTAAGTGACGAACTTATCACGATCAATGTTAGACCACCATCAGAAACCTGGAAGCACTGAAAGTCGACCGCTTCTTCCTTGCATGGGACTCATCAGTAGTGCGCATACATGACCCCTGCACCTCGTAGGATTCGAACAAAGGACATTCAGCCTTGCGCGCGAAGGCCTAGCCTCTGGACCACGAGATCGTGCCGATGCACTAGGAGATATAGTCCCATGATAACCGATGACCAATGATATGTTCATACATCACCATTAGTTCTGTAAGTGTCTTAGAGTCAATATGGACTATTTGCTTGAAATGAACGATTTCCAACTCCTCCAGGTTGATCAATCATATGTATCAATTCGGTTTAATCGTCGAACATTTGATTTTCATCCTTTGAATCTCATGAAAAATACATTCATCAAGACGCGCAGTGAGTAGGACTTATGTGACAGTTCAGTTCTTATATTAAGTGTGTTTATACGAGAGTGTTTGTAGAGAAACAGAGAGAGAAGGTAAGAATGAACTTTCCCTACTCTCAATCATACAAGTGCCTTAATCCTGATTTTATCAAGTTTTAGAATGATATTTTTCTTTCAAACGATTGTATTCGTGATCGAGTTGAGATTGACTATGATCACCATTACACAAAAATTACAAACCCTTCACCGATAAGAAGCGTTATTCCATAGTAAAGAATATTTCGTGGTATCGAAAGAATATTTTGGGGCCGTCCAGTGCTTCCAGGTTTCTAATGGTGGTCTAACAATGATTGATTGATGATTTCAAATTTATCGAAAGAATACCGAAATCTTGCCAAAAAAAGAGGGGCTAAATTACAGAGGCAGTGGAGCCAAAAAATGGCAGGCAGCAACACAAACAGAAAGTTTGCGCGTAAACAGAGTGTGTTTTAAACAAAGAGGTTCAGTTAAACAATCATTAGTACACTGAGCTGGATGTTTTAGTTGTGGAGCTTTGATTGTTATTCTTCAGAACAACATCATTAGAAGAACACTGAAAGCTCCACAAGCAAAACATCCAGCTCAGAGAACCAAACACCACCACCATCACAATCATCCACCTGAGCTACAAATCTTCTCCACCATCTCAAAATCACTAGTACAACTGCACTGCGGGGTTTTTGTGAAGATTGTTAAGTTTTATTTGTAACCATGAATCGATCAATGTTAGACTACCATTAGAAACCTGGAAGCACTGGACGGCCGTTTCACACTGCTGATGAGTCCCATACCAGGACGAAACGGCCGTCTTGTAGTGCTTCCAGGTTTCTAATGGTAGTCTAACATTGATCGATTCATGGTTACAAATAAAACTTAACAATCTCCACAACAACCCCGCAATGCAATTACATGTGTCCACTAGTGACTAGCTTGGTGAGGAATCTTCTCCGAGTTCTAGTGGGAAGACGTGACCAGTGAAGTTCAAACCTGTTCGGATGTATACAGGGTATGAGGTTGCGAAACTCCGTGAATTTGACCAAGTTAGACAATAACACCGTTAGATACCGGCTCAGTGGTCTAACGGTTAGGGAGTTCGCGCACAATACTGAAGGTCCAGGGTTTGAATCCTGCGGGGTGCGGGAGTCGTGGATGCGCACTGCTGAAGAGTCCCATACCAGGTCGAAACGGCCGTCCAGTGCTTCCAGGTTTCTGATAGTGGTCCAACACCAGTACAATTGGTCATAATCATGAATGTTCCTATCAAAAGCAATCGCATTCTCTTCATAAAAATAGATTTACTACACATAAACTTAAGTAATCAAAATGGAGTCCATCTTGTTTGAAAACAATGAATTTTAAAATAATAATAATAATCTATTTTCATTTGTTCAGGTCATCCATCATTGATCAATCAACATTGAACCTACTGAAATGAATGATTCATTCAATGAATTATTTAAGACAAGTCGTGTGACTTGTTTCTGCATTGTTTAAAATTTTGGGGCAGAGTTTTGGAGGTTTGTGTTTTTACACAATTAAAATCATCTGTCAATCATTGTTAGACTAACACCATTAGAAACCTGGAAGCACTGCAAGACGGCCGTCAAATCCTTGTATGGTACTCATCAGCGGTGCGCATCCACGACCCATGCCCCTCTCAGGATTAGAAACCGGAACCTTCAGTATTGTGGGCGAACGCCTAACCATCGGACAACTGGACCGGCATCCAACGGTGTTAATGTCTAACTCTGATTGATTGATTGTGTAAAAACAAAAACCTCCAAAACTCTTTCCCAAAATATCTCACTATTGACTAGCTTCGAGGGGAGTTCTAGTTGAGAAGACGTGACCGATGGAGTTCGACCCTGTTGGGTGTAGGCAGTAACTACCGAAGATAATTGGGTGAGGTTGCGCGAAATCCGTAGATCAATCAGAGTTAGACATTAACAAAGTTAGATACCGACTCAGTGGTCTAGCGGTTAGGGCGTTCGCGCACAAGGTCCCAGGTTCGAATCCTGCGGGTTGCAGGAGTCGTGGATGCACACTACTGATGAGTCCCATTCCAGGACTTGACGGCCGTCTTTCAGTGCTTCCAGGTTTCTAATGGTGGTCTAACGATGATTGATTGATGATTTCAAATTGTTTCAAATTTAAGTTTTTTTAAAAAGAAAACAATAGATGGATTCTATTCACTACTGTCCTTCATCATTGATTTTTTATTGATTATTGTAAATCAATATTGATATGCTTGAATGTTATTACGAGTTCACCTTAGTCGGTAAACAAGAGCGAAGATAAATGATCCAGTGACACGATAGGCTATTCTAATCCGAGCGTCCCAAG